AGCCAACAAGCCTTATCTTCTTTTTTTAAAAAATGTTTTCAGTATTTATTATTATTCAATTTGCTATAGGGCATATGTGCTCACTAGAGAGAGATAGAGAGAGAAAGTAAGCTACCATGTCTGGAACTCGAACTGCGGTCAACCAAGTGGGAGTCTAGCGCCCCAACCTCCACACCACCTGCTGGCCCAGCACTATCTTCTTAAACTCATTACAGTTAGTAAGAAAGTGGGTTATACACAAGTAGGTTATACACAAAATGTCTTTTGTATGAATAATGTTTCCACATGCTCCCTGCTTTCTGTCTCATATAGTCCTCAACTCCAGTCTATGTTGTGTTTTCTTACAAGTTTCATTTTATGAATGGAGGAAAAGGAATAAATGACAAGACTGGAAGTCAGCTTTTGACTTTAAAATCCTGTACTTTTCATCATATAAATAAGACAGTAAGATCTGTTGACTGTAGGCATGCCTGTCATTTATCTATTGTGTCTTAGCTCCACCACCACCACCACTGTAGTCTTCCAGTTTACTTCTGTGTTACCGCAACAACTCTCTTACTCCACCAGCAGCAGTCCTTTCCACAACAGCTGAATGAAGTTTGCAGTTTTTCAAACACTTGGAGAAACAGCTTTCTCATTCCCACTCCCATCCCCACCCCTACCAAGGTCAGAGAGAGCAGCACTAGTCAAGCAGTGCTCCATTCTCAGACACCTAAGTTGTATCCCTGCATGTTCTCTTAAGTTTTGATAATTCTGACTTTTTTATTTTCTCAAACATTACTATGGTTATTACTTCTTGTTGTTGCTATTTTGTGATAACCTTAGAGTTCTTTTTTAACCTTTCTAGTTATAGTCATTAATTAGGTATGGTTTTGGTCTCTTAATTAGAAACTACTTGGTACAGTCAGTGGGCTTGCTTGCTTGCTTGCTTGCTTGCTTGCTTGCTTGCTTTCTTCTTTAAGAGTTGTGTTTGCTATAAGGTGCATGTACTTGCCAAAGAGACAGAGGCAGAGAGACAGAGAGAAATCACCCCCACCCTCACCCAGGGATGGCCACACCACAATCCCTTCTCTGTCATTCTCCTCTCAGGATTTTAGGTGCACACACACAAAAGCTGGGCGTTGAATTTAAGACACCCGGTCCTTGGTTGACTACGTGGGAATCCAGTGACATAACCATTACACCATCTGCAGGACTCAGATAGCAGTGGGTTTTAATATTGATGAAGACTCAGAACTGTCTAAATTTGCAGAAAAGGATATGATGTTCCTTCCCTTTCTCTCATGATTCTGTTCTAGAGAACTATGTTTCCAATTCTCAGTTCTGATCTCCAGTAGGCCAGCAGGCTCTGATCAGGTTAGTGTGTGTTTTTGTTTTTGTTTTTGTTTTGTTTGTTTCTTACCCACACAAAGAACAGGTAAATGAAGTATGTTTAATACCTGGACAAAATAGATAATTTCCCTCAACTATGGTAAAATCTTGCTGTGACACGAATGAAACAAACAAAAAAATCAATTACAAGGTTGAATTATTGTGACTTACTATGAATGAAATGACCAATGTATACCTGCCCAGTTAATTACTGGGTACATAGATTCAGGAGACAAGTATCAGTTGCATTATATCTAAGTGCATTACTGTAGGTTTTACTATACTACTAATACTATTTTATCAAAACAATGAGTTTTATTTTTAATCTGAAAATCCTCTTAATAAAGCTTAATATTCTGGTTAAGCTACTTCCAACTGAAAGATAGAAGCCCATAAACTTAATTATTCATGTGGTTAGTTAGTATACTAACAATGGAGACCAGTTTGTTGAACTCTGATAGAGCTGAAGATGTACGTATGCTTTAATCCAACTAGTCTATTTATAGCTTTATGCCCTAGGGAAACTCGAGGTGATATATATACATAGAATGTGTACAGAAGTTTAGAATAGCAAACATATTAGAAACAACGTACTGGTTTCTTTCTCACAAGATAATGAATTGATTGTTGTTTAGCCATATAATTATGTTTATATGGCATTTTAAAAAGAATGAACTAGATCTCAAAATATTTTTTAAACAATTATCTATTTAATTTTATTTACCATCATTATTATTATTATTTAATTTGACCAGAGAGAAACACAGAGAGAGGGGGAAAATGAAAAACAAAGCCACCAAGTCTGGGACTTGAACTGTAGTCAGCCATATGGGAGTCTAGCACCTCAACCACCATGCTACCTGCCAGCTCAGGTCTCCATGTATATTACCGTGGATTGATTTAAAAAAAAAAAAAAGAAATATTTTATTTAACTTTCAGGTCTCCATGTATATTACCGTGGATTGATTTAAAAAAAAAAAAAGAAATATTTTATTTAACTTGGTTTCTTTCTTTCTTTATTTTAATTTAACCAGAGAGGAACAGAGCGAGTGTGGAAGAAAGTGGGGGGTGGGGGGGGTAGAGAGAGAGAGAGGGAAAGTGAGAAAGCAAGCTGCCAGGTCCCATATTCAAACTGAGGTTGGCCACGTGGGAGTCCAGTGCTCTTAGCCACCATACTACCTAAGAGCCCCACGTGGATTGATTTTTTAAATGTAAAGAATGCAAAACACAAATCACAGAATAATCTATGTAGTACGGTATAATTTAACATGGTTTAAAAGCTCCAAATAGTACCTTTTTAATAGATGGACATATAAATGAAAAATATGGATGAGAAAAGATACATTCCAATTTCACTGTAGTAGTTACTTGTAGTCTGAGGAGAAGTATAAAAATTCAACACTATTATTTTCTAACAATAAAAAGTATCTCAAGTAGGAGCCAGCTAGTGTCATGGTGTTTAAGGCAGTTAGATTTCACCTGGCTGATTGTGTGGTTCAAGTCCCAGACCTGGCAGCTTATAATACACGCCTGATGACTATACATGCATGCCCCAAATCCCAAGATGAAAGTGGAAGAAAAGGGATTGCAGTATGGCCATCCCCCTGAGGGGTGATTTCTCATTTTCTGTTTCTCTTTCTCTAGCAAGTGCACATGTCCTATAGCAAAAACTGAAAGGAAAAAAAAAAAAGTAAATATCATAACTTGTTAATATCACAAAATAAATATATGTTTTTGGGGGGAGAGGTTTTTGTTTTAGGGCGCATGAACTTGCCGGAGAGACAGAGACAGAAAGCGAGAAATCACCCCCCAGGGGGAGATGGCCATGCCGCAATCCCTTCTCCTTCATTCTCCTCTTGGGATCTTGGGCACGCACGCACACACACCTAGCGTGAGTTAAAGCCATCGAGTCCAGGACTTGAACCACAGTCGACTACATGTGAGTCCAGCGACATAGCCATTACGCTAACTGCTGGTCCCAATATTACATAATATTATAAGCATCCTGTATACAGAAGTAGGTTCATAGATATTTATTATTATCGCTATTTTCTGTAATTGTAAAATATATATATATATATATATTTAGAGGTTTTTGCTATAGGGCGCGTGCGCTCGCCAGAAAGACAGAGAGAGACAGAGAGACAGAAAGCGAAAAATCACCCCCCAGGGAGGATGGCCATGCCGCAATCCCTTCTCCTCCCTTGTCCTCTCAGGATCTTGGGCACGCAGGCACACGCGCCTGGTGTGAGTTTAAGCCACTGGGTCCAGGACTCGAACCGCGGTCGACTACATGGGATTCCACCGACACAGCCATTATGCTAACTGCTGGTCCCAAGTGTAAAATATTTTATAATGAAAATTATTAAGAAAAATATCAGTCTAGTACTTCCTGGAAAATATCTGATATGGTTAGAGTGACTATTTTTTTTTTTTGAGAGGTTTTTGCTATAGGGCATGTGCACTCTCCAGAAAGAGAGGGACGTAGAGACAGAAAGTGAGAAATAACCCCAAGCGGGCAATGGCCACACTGCAATCCCTTCTCCATTCGCCTCTCAGGATCTTGGGCAAATGCGCCTGGCATGTGTTTCAAGCCTCCCAGTCCAGGACTTTGACCATGCTCAGCCATGTGCGAGTCCATGAACATAACCATTATCCTGCCATCTGCTGGTCCCTCAACTTTGGTATAAATCTACCAATAAAGACAAAAGGCATGTACGCACACGCGCCCGGCGTGGATTTTAAGTCACCGGGTCCAGGACACAAACCGCAGTCGACTACGTGGAAGTCCAGCGACATAGCCATTACACTAACTGCTGGTTCCCTCCTCTCGGGATCTTGAGCATGCACGCAAATGCGCCTGGCGTTAGTTTAAGCCACCAAGTCCAGGACTCAAACCGCGGTCGACTACATTGGAGTCCAACAACATAGCCATTAAACCAACTGCTGGTCCCAGAGTGTCTGATTTACTTATTTTTTAATATTATGTCATTTTGATTTTGTTTTGATTATCATCATGCTTCAATTGTTTTTAAAGAATTATTTTTATTTATCTTTATTTATTATTTAATTTGACAAGAGAGGTACAGAGTGAGAGAGAGAGAGACAGAAATTAAGAAAGCAAGGTGCCAGGTCCAAGACTCAAACCAAGGTCAGTCAACCATGTGGGAATCCAACACCCTTAAGCACCACACCACCTGCTGGCCTCATAGTGTTTCAATTTGTAAAAGACTGCATGTAAGGAATTAGTGTTATAGGATCTAGGGGTGGGATTGGGGGAGCCAGCAGAGGAGGACACCAAGAGAAAATGCTGAACTGAGGATGAGTAGGTATGTATAAAGGGAGGGATGAGGTCAGGGTCAGATAGTAAAGAAATACTGAATGACTAGGAATAGAGAAAATTTAAAGGAAATGACAATATGCTTGTCTTCTCCAACTAGATTATAACCTCTTCCAGAGTAGAAACTACACCTTATACTTTGTTTTCATTTTCTGTATCTAGATTAGTCATTTCCCTCGAATGGGCACATACTACATTATGTTGACTGCCATTTTGTCAACCAAATTTGCAACCCAGACATTAATACCCTACTTATTCATTATGCTTATTGATTATGCTTGACACTCACCTTTCAGATTTAGTTGCTGGAGATCATTTAAAGATAGAAAAGATGGTGGAAGATAATTTATTTGATTGTTGTATGCCTGTAAGCTAACCAGACTTCTCAATTCCCCTACATTTCTTGGAATCTCTCTGATTGCATTATTTGAGATATCAAGTTTTTTAAGTTGAAGCATATTAGACAGCTCTTCTGGAAGTCTTGTTAACTGTAACAAAAATTAAATAATGCTTTCATTAAAATTGTATAATTAAAGCTTTACTTAAATCAAATGGAAGGAAGGAGTTTTTTGCTTTTTTTTTTTTTTGGCTTAAAAAGGGGATATTTTTATTATGTCGCAAATTCTTCATGACTCCCTTTCCTAGCTAAAACCCACAAGATATTCTGTAGCATCAAGTACCTCCCCAATCTGACCAATGTTAATGGTTCAGTCCTGTGCCTTCCTAACCCACATTTCTCACTCTTCCAACACTGTGTTCATCATTTCCTTTCCCTTAATTCCCTTCATAAATCTGACCCTAGTTTGTCTTACTCTCGTCCTGAAGTTTTTTCCAACTACTCTGTCTCAATTTGTTTTCTTTGTTCATTACACTCATCAACTCTGCTTTAATTACTCCCTTGTATGTTTTCCTTGGATCCTTAAATGGCATGATAATGCATGTCTTATATGAAGGAACTTCAAAAGTTTATGGGAAAATGGACTTAAAGTATGAGTTGATTTTGGTAGAAAACATTTTGAAATTTAGGCAAAGTCCGTTCTTTTTCTTTCTTTCTTTCTTTGTTTAATTTTCCCAGAAGCATGTGTGCTTACTGAAGAGAGAAAGAAGGAAAGTGAGAAAGCACTCATGGAAAATAGTGACACTGTAATCCTTCTTCCTCCATTTTTCTCTACTTTTGAGATTTTGGCCACACATGTACACACAACTGGTGAGTTTTTCAAGCCACTGTGTCTGGGATGCAAACTATGCAGCTTGCCATATAGGACCCAGTTGCTTTAACCACTACATGGACTGGTCAGGCCAAATCTTTTGAATCCCAGACCTGGAGGCCTAAAACCCACACGAGGCATGTGTGTATGCATGCCCAAAATCCTGAGAGGAGAATGGAGGAGAAGGGATTGTGGCATGGCCAGCCTTTCTGGAGGTAATCTCCCTCTGTCTCCCTGTCTCTCTCTCTCTCTCTCTCTGGTGAGCATATGTACCCTATAGCAAAAATCTCTCTAAAAAAAAGAAAAAGAAGCTTGAGACAGCCCCTAACTTCAAGGAGATTGAAATTTAGTTCAAGGGACCACCAGCTGGCATACTGGCTATGTCGCTGGACTCGCATGTTGTCAACTGTGGTTTGAGTCCCGGATACGGTGGCTTAAACTTACGCTGGGCACATGGGTGTGCATGCCCAAGATCCTGAGAGGAGAATGGTAGAGAAGGGATTATGGCATGGCCATCCCCCCTGGGGGGTAATTTCTCGCTTTCTGTCTCTCTGTCTCTCTCTGTCTTTCTGGTGAGTGCATACACCCTATAGCAAAAACCTCTCAAAAAAAATTGTTTTTTAATTCAGAGAGCAAAATACATACATACAAAACAATTAAAAAACAATGTGAAGCAATATGTAGTACAATGACAAAATGAAGAATACAAGTAATAATATGTGAAAGTTTAAACTCGACACATCAACACAAATCAGAGAACAAAAGGAAAGCTTGATGGAGAAGGTGGAACTTGAATGGATTTTTTTTTTTTTTTGGTAGATTTGCCAGAGGGTGCATGTGCTGGCCAGAGAGAGAGAGAGAGAGAGAGAGAGAAATACAGAAAGCACCTTTTATGGGGAATGGTCATGCCTGCCCAACCTCTCCTCCATGTCTTACTCCTTTTGAGATTTTGGCATGCATGCTTATGTGCCTGGCATGTTTCTCAAGCCAGTTCTGGAATTCAACCTTACAGTCAGCCATGTGGATCCAGTTGACGTAACCACTAGGCCATGAGATGGTCCCCTTGAATGGACTCTTAAGAATGAATAGGATTGGAGCCAACCCAAGGTGTGGTGGTTGAGGTGGCTAGATCTAACATGACCAACCAGGTGGTTTGCATGTCAGATCTGAAGGCTTGAGAAACATGCTGGGCAAGTGTGTGTGTGTGCCCAAAATCCTGAAAAGGAGAAACAGAGGAGAAAGGACTGTGGCATGACTATCCCTCATGGGGAGTATTTTCTCACTTTTCCTATCTCTTTCTGTTTTCTGCAAACACACATGCCTTCTGGCAAAAATAAAATAAAATAAATAAAATAATATAAAATTTAAAAAAAGAATAGGAAGATACTTAAGGTAGGACAAATATCATGCATAAAAATGGCCAGTGAGAAGCTGACAAATAGAGAAAATGGATGCTGAGGGAGATATATTTGATATGGAGCATTGAACCAGGTTATGACAAGACTTGAGAGACAAGCCTATGAAGCAGGAATCAGAGCAAGACAGATGGGTGAGTCTATCATTTGACACTCCTTCAAACAAATATTTTTTATTTGCTCAACTTTTATTAGAAGAAGTATCTGAGACCTATGTTTTGATAGAACTAATGTAGAAGGGAGATTTCTTCCTTTGCTTAGCAAACAAAAGGCCTGGGATTAATCTGATTCATCATCAGATGACTACTTAGTGAATATACACCGTTATATAAATGAATCCTTTGAGCATTTCACTTCCACTTCAAGGGGATTATCAAAGTGATATTTTCAACCACAGAGACTAGCTTCTTGACAAGTGTACTTGAAACAATATTTTCAATCTGACCACCTTTGAAAAAATACCACAGTGGTGCCTTTGACAACCACCCACTTTGAGTGGACAATAGAAAATGCAATCTGGATTCCTGACAGGCAGATATAATACAATACAGTCATCTAGAATGAAGTCTGATAATTGTCACAAGGTCTGCTAAAAGGGAAGATACTGAGTCAAAGAGAATAGCCTGGAGGATCCAATCATTGCCAGAAGCAATCTAGGCATGAAGTGAATAATGACTATGGACCATAGACAGTTACATTGGAAAATGTAAGAACTCATCAAGAGGTTGTGTGTGTGTGCATGTGCATGTGTGTGTGTGTGTGTGTGTGTTTCCTTCCAGGGATATATTTGCTATAGGGCATGTACATTCACCAGAGAGGCAGAGAAAGACAGACAGAAAGCAAGAAATCACTCTGCAGGGGGATTGCCATACCACAATCCCTTCTCTTCATTCTCCTCTTGGGATTTTGGGCATGTGTGCACACAGGCTCCAAGTGAGTTTCAAGCTTTCGGATCTAGGACTCAAATCAGGGTCGGCCTTATGGGAGTCCAGTGCTTTAGCCCCTATGCTACCTGCTGGTCCTGATCCAAGAGCTTTATGAGAAGAAAAAGAAAATTTTGGTATAAGATTCAGTGTAATTGATGATGGAAAGGAAACAAAGACGATTTCATGATTTTGAAGGAAGCTTCATTGAAAAGAAAAATGAATTGATTTTTAAGCTTTACTGAGTTTGAGAAACAAAGAATAGAACATGGAATCTCTAGGGAAAATTAGGAGCTATGGAATTAGAACACTGGTATGAGATCAGCTCCAGTTAAGTAAATTTGGAGATAAAGTATCTTTTCATATAAAAGCAACTTCTTAAACATAACATGTATCAATGCTCATTCCATCTATTTAAGCAAGCATTTCCTGGTTTGCTTTCTGGAAATGTATTATATAATAGGTGATATACTTAGAAAGGTCCAACAAACTTGAGAAATATGGTTTAAATAGAGACAAACCAGTTTTTCTCTATTGCAGGACTCTTCAGAGCTCAGAGCTTTTTTTTTTTTTTTTTTTTTTTTTTTTGGGGGGTTTTTTCTTAGAGGACAGGGGGCTCGCACAGAGAGAGAGAGAGAGACAGAAAGCCGGAAATCACCCCCCCAGGAGGTATGGCCACACCACAATCCCTTCTCCTCCATTCTCCTCTCAGGATCTTGGGCATGCACACATGAGCCCAGCATGATTTAAGCCACCAGGTCCAGGACTCAAACCGTGGTCGACTGTATGAGAGTCCAGTGACATAGCCATTACGCCAATTACTGGTCCCCCAGAGCTTTTAATATACTAACGTTCATTGTGGTTCTCTAAGAGAAGAACCCAGTGATTCTCAAAGCCTTTGATCACAGATACCATCATCCCCCCTAAATACACACATTAGTTTTAGTAGTAGTAGTAGTAGTAGTAGTAGTGGTAGTAGTAGTAGTTTAGAAGAAACTCATGGAATTAGGGTATTAAGAAACTGACTTTGGAAAATCTTGCTTTAGATAATAGCCTGGCACTAAAATAACCAGAATTTTCATTAGTTTACTGAGATCTTAATTTATAAAAGTATTTCTGTACAATTCAATTTGAGATTTGAGTAAAATAAGAATGTATACATCAATTTATCTATCAATTTTTCAGGGAAGATTTTCTAAAAACATATTTTCAATTTATCTAGAAATTTTTCAGGGAAGATTTTCTAAAAACATAGTCTAAACTATTTTAAAATGCACTATATTTATGAAGAAATTCATCACAGTATAACAAAGAAAAAAATCACAGTATTCCTAAGTGTGTAACAACAGAGGGTTAGTTACATAAATCACATATTGATTATAACAATTATCAGAAAACTATAATGAGAAGTACTTCTGATACATAAAAGGAGAAGAATTTAAAATTAACTGTTTTTTAAAAAATAATTGTTGATAAAACCATATACATTAGGGAAAAAGTCTAAAAGTAAGTTGTATCAACTGATACCAGTAATTGTATTACAATGACATACTTGAGGAATGATTTTTCTTTTTACTTCTTGTCACAATTTAAAATTTTTTCAATGTGTTTATATGAAATGTGTAACTTTTAAAACTCCTTTTTCAGTTAGACTGAGCTAAAAATAAAGTTATAAAGATTGTCAGCTATAATTGTTTCACATCGCATTTTAACACAATATTTTCCTATAAAGTTTTTTGTGCTGTAAAGTGTATTTGTAAGCCTATTTTTTTTTTCAGGAGGAACCTATTTTTTAAACAAAATAGTCCAGCTAAGTGTAAAATACATACACGTGGACTACGTTCAGATACACTACAGCTTAAATTTTGATCCTCTCTATCCCCTTCTTCCTCCCAAACCCCAAAGAAGTAATATCTTACCTTTCTCCCATTTATTTGACTTATATTCAACTCTTCCAGTGATTGAAGTTGGCACAGTTCAGTAGGAAAAGACATAAACTGATTGCTTGAGAAGTTTAATTTCTGGATTCCTTTTAATTTATGAATCTCTGCAGGGATTTTCTGTAATTGGTTTTCTGAAAGATCAAGGACTTGCAAATTCTCTAACGTACACAGTTCTCTAGGAAAAATTTCAAATTTATTACAGCTTAAAATAAGTACATGGAGTGATACCATATTGGAAATAGATAGGGGAATTTTCTTTATTTGGTTTTTACCAAGATCCAGGTATTTAAGATTAATAAGAGAACATAAGTGCTCAGAAAATACAAGAAGCTTGTTTTCACTAAACTCTAAGTGAAGCAGTTGTTTACTGAAAGATACATCCACAGGTATTTCTGAAATATAATTTCCATTCAAACTCAAATAATAAAGAGACTCTAAAGCGCACAGTCCCACTGGAAAATACATTATTTTATTATAATTTAATTCAATTTTAGTTACTTTTCTACAGTTTTTAATTTCAATAGGAATGTCTGTGATTCTATTTTCTGAAAATTCTAGACTACATATATTATGAAGATGTGAGATATCTTCAGTTATTCTCATCATCATATTTCTGTTTACATAGAGTTTTCTTAAATGTTTAAGCTTATTGATGTTCTTAGGAAGTTCTGTTAATTTATTATCACTAAGACTAAGGCATTCCAACATCACACAGTAGGAAATTGTCTCTGGTATTTTTTTCAATAAATTATTATCTAGCATAAGAATCCTAAGTTCTCTGAAATTCTTGACTTTGTGTGAAATAACATCCAACTTATTGTCAGCCAGTTGGAGTTCCTTTATTTTGAACAATTGGAAAATTTCCACAGCCAAAAAGGTAAGTTTATTGTGATTCAGTAAAAGTTTTTCTAAATTTTTAAGCTCCCTAGTTTCTTTTGGCAAACTGCTTATCAGGTTTCCAGTAAGGTTTAGTGAAATTAACTTTGGAAGGAAGCATAGAGCTTTGGGAAATATTGTTAATCGATTATATTCCAGATTGAGAATGCTCAAGTTTTTCAAACTAGGAAGAGTGTCTGGTATATGTCTTAACTTATTTTTACCCAAACTTAGAATTTCCAAGCTTCCAAGACTTTCTAAGTCAGAAGGAAAACTCTCAATATAATTGTTATTTAAAAAGAGTTGCCTGATATTCCCAAGCTGTAATAATTCCTTAGGTATATGTGATATTTGGTTGTGACTAATATTTAGTATCCTTAAATTATGAAATAACTGAATTTCACACGGAAGTGATGATAATCCATTTTCTTGCAAGGACAGAATTTCAATTCCTAGCAGATCAGCTGAGTGTGCCCCTTGAAAATTTGTGATGTGATTCTTGTCCAAATATAGATATTTTACATATTTAATTTTTAAAATGTCCTTAGGGAATTCTTTTAAACCTCTGGCCACAAGATTAACTGTAAAGTTATCTGAGTCTAAGGGAAGCCCTTTCAGATTTTCTTCAGAAACTTTTGGACTTATTTTTCCTACCGTTTCATGAGATAGCAAGTTAAGGGAAGTCTGATGTTTTTCTATCATCTCAGCTATTGATGATAAACTTTGTGAAGCTTCTGTTTTTGACAGTGGGCTGGCATTGCTAGTGATTGTCTCAGAAATCTGAAAACTCTCCTTTTGTTCTTCATTTCTCTCATCTTTGAGTCCCGAGATAGATGTTGACTGTAATGAATCATTTCTAGGATGCGTTTCATTAATCTTGTTGGAAAATTTCTCTTCTAGGTAATCAGAAGCTTCATTTGATGAATGTGATGTTTCTTTACTAAATCCAGGCTCCTCCACCGACTGTGATCTAGATTCTTTCCCAAATTGATTAGTGATATCTTCTGAAGAACCCTCCTTTTCAGACATTTTATTAGATGTTATATTTTATACCAATACAAGATGGTAATTTGATTTTAATTTTCATGTTTCATGTCTTTTGAACCTATAAAATAAATGTTGATATTGAAGGAAGAGACATAATAGACAGAATAGAAAAGATATAATAGAAATGTCAAAATGAATTTTAATACAACTATTTTATTCTATAAGAAATAGTTTCATAAACAAAATTAGTACATTTATAACAAACTAATTTTTATGTGATTTCTCATAAGGATAAGTTATTGACTGCATGTATTTATCACAAGGGACTCTTGCAATAACATTAAAGTTATAGAATTGGGGGCAGTGGGTGACATGAAGGTTAAGGCAGCTGGATCCCATATGGCTGACTTTGCAGTTCAAATCCCTGAGGTGGCAGCTTATAAATCACACCAGGTGTGTGTGTGTGTGCATGCTGAGGTGGCAGCTTATAAATCATACCAGGTGTGTGTGTGTGCATGATCAAAATCCCGAGAGGAGAACGGAGGAGATGGGATTGTGGCATGGCCATTCCCCCAAGGAGGTGCTTTCTCACTTTCCTTCTGGCTCTGGCAAGCACACATGCCCTATAGCCAAAGTGGAGAAAAGTTACAGAATGTTTTGAAAAGGATCAAAGAAAGGGCCAAACTGTAGTAGTAAAGGTGGCTTTATCTCACAAGGCTAACTGCATGGTTTGAGTCTGACCCAGTGGCTTTAAGAAACACAACAGGCACATGTACATGTGTGCCCAAAATCCTGAAAAAAGGAAGAGATAGAGAACGTATTACAGTGTGATAATCTCCCATGGAGGGTGCTTTCTGATTCTCTTTCTCTTCCACTTCCTCTCTGGTGAGTGCATGCACCCTTTGTCAAAACTAAAAACAAACAAACAAAGAAAATGGAAGAAAATGAGAAAGAAGGCTTAACTATGGGAATGAAAGAATTTAGCAAACTTCTTTGGAGACCAAAAGGGGCTAGTGGCTTACCATAAAGAGAGTGCCGTCAAGTTGTGGACATTGCAGATTTACATATGGTACTAAAAGTGTCCTGTTCTGTGACCAGCAGTTGGCATAATGGCTATGTCACTGGACTCTCATGGTTCAAGTCCCAGACCCAGTGGCTTAAATTCCTGCCGGGCACATGTGCGGGTGTGCCCAAGATCCCAAGAGGAGAATGGAGGAGAAGGGATTGTGGCATGGCCATCCCCCTTGGGGGTGATTTCTTGCTTTCTGTCTCTCTGTCTCTCTCTGTCTTTCTGGCAAGCACATGCGCCCTATAGCAAAAACCTCTCCAAAAAAAAATGTGTCCTGTTTTAACAAATTCAGTACATTGTGGCAATTTTTCCAAAGGGTGAAAATAAAACGTCTTAGAGAAAAGGCTGCCTTCCATAAGGGTAAACTAGAAGTGAAACAGTCCTTGCATGGACCGTAGCCTAACTCTTGTATGACTCCTGAAGTGCCAGCACCAGCTGGGCAGCACTACTCCTCACAGGTCCGGGTCCCACTGTAGGTTCTTCCTCCAAACTTATTGTTTCTAATAATCTAAACGCTTTCCTTTTTTCTCTTCATCCCTAGGATTGGTAGCTACTTCCTGTATTTACTGTCTCTGTGTTACTGCAGTTTGCCCTTTGTCTTTCTAGTCCTCCAAAACATGTTTAAACAACTCCCCTAATATTAAATCTATTAAATTGGTGTGGTGTCAATATTTCACAAACTCTCTGAGAGAATAGAGAAGAGGAAATGTTTTCCAACTTGTTTTCAGAGGCTAGCACTAACCTCAACAACAATAATATTTTAAAAAATTAGACTAATCTTTACTCAAGAACAAAAATACAATTAATTTTTTACAGAATTATTTATTTAATTTTATTTATTTATTCATTTATCTTAATTTGACCAGAGAAAGACAGACACACAGAGAGAAGGAAAAGTGAGAAAGCGAGCCACCAGATCCAGGACTTGAACTGTTGTCAGCCATGAGGGATGTCCAGCGTCTTAACCACCACGCTACCTGCTGGTCCCCCCAAAATGCAACAATTCTAAACATTACAAAACTGTTCTAAATATTATAAAGCTAGCAATATATTAAAAAGGTTAGTATTTCATGACTAAGTTGCATTTGTTCCAGAAATGCTAAGTTGTTATTTGGGTTGTCAGAAAAACCATGACACATTTCTGCATAGAAAGCCATAGAAAAAAATAGGTCATGACTTTGCCAGTAACTTATTATTATTATTATGGAGATTTTTTTTTGCTATAGGGCATGTGCGCTCGCCACAAAGAGAGAGACATAAAATGAGAAACCACCCCCCAAGGTGGATGGCCACACCACAATCCCTTCGCTCCATTCTCCTCTCTCAATAACCCATTATCTTAACATTAGAAAACTAATGTAATTTGCCCCAAAGAGAGATTAAAGGAGAAAACCATATGATTATCTCAACAGATGAAGAAACATAAATTATATTTTTTATGATTTTAAAGAAAAATTTTAGCAAAGTAGGAATAGATGGAATTTCTTTAAATGAGGGTAAACAAGAAGTGAAATAGTCCTTACATAGACTTCAGCCTAACTTCTAAATGGTGCTCATAAAAAACCCGCAGTAGGGGCCAGCAGGTGGCATGGTTGTGAAGGGCACTGGAGTCCCACATGGTCAACTTGGGGTGTGAGTCCCGGACATGGTGGCTTTCTTTCTCACTTTCCCTCTCTCTCACTCTGTCCCTCTCTGACCAAATTAAAATAAATAAAGTTAAATAAAATAATTATTAAAAAAAAAAACCCTACAATGGTACCAGCAGTTGGCATAATGGCTATGTTGCTGTGCTCCCATGTAGTTGACCACAGTTCAAATCCCAAAACCAGTGGCTTAAAACACACATCAGGTGTGTGTGCATGCTTGCCCAGGATCCCGAGAGGAGAATGAAGGAGAAGGGATTGTGGTGTGACCATTCCCCCTGGGGGTGATTTCTTGCTTTCTGTCTCTGTCTTTCTGGCGAGCATACGCGCCCTAGAGCAAAAACCTTGAAAAAAAACAAAAACAAAACAAACAAACAAACAAAAAACCTGCAATAAACCTCACACATAGTAGTGAAACATTTAAAACTTTTCTGAGATCAGAAGCAAGAAAACATTTTTCTTAACATTACTCTACAAAACATTGTACTGAGACCTAAGCCAGTGGTATAAAGCCAAAAAAAAAGTATAAGCAATATAAAGAAAGAAAGTAGTCATTAGTCACAGATAAATAATTGGGTATGTAGAAAATCCAAGATTATCTGCAGATAAATTATTGGAATCAATAAGAACATTAATGTTGCTAAATACAAAGTCAGTATTACAGAACTCAATTTCCTTTTTTATGCCCTTTGTGTTTTTCCAGTGAGGGTTGGGATTCAAAGCCCACAGTTGGTCATGTGGGGTCCAGTTCCCTCAACCACTATATAGGACCAACCCCTGAGCTAAAATGTTCTGGGGCTTCTTTATCAGGGGATCTGAACCCACAAGTCAGCCATATGCTTTCTACCATTGCAATTCAGTTTGCTACCAACTATGCCACCAGACTGTGTTTGTGTGTTTAGTTATGTAAGATACTCTAAAAGATAAGGTGGCAGGAAGATTGAAATGGAAAGGATGCCACTCATACATACATGAAGCTTGATTAATGAAAAAGGTTGCATACAGAGTGCTCAGGACATGATGGTTTTGAATGAGTCAACTGAGTATCTATACAGAAAGAAAAATATTTGACGCTTACATTGCAATCCACAGAAACCAATTTAAGGTAGACTTACAGACTTTGCTTGGTGAAAAGTAAAACAATGAGTTTCCAAGTAGATGATACAGGAGGATGTCTTCAATGAGCTTGGGATAGGGAATAAATGTTTTATTCACCAGAGGGTGCATACATTTGCAAGTGGGGGAGAGAGAGAGAGAGTGCACACGCAAGCATTCCCTTCCTCCATGGAGGCTGGTCACATTACAGTTCCTTCTCTTCCATTTCTCCTTTTGGCATTTTTGGCACACCACATGTTTCTGGCATGTTTTTCAAACAACCAGGCTGAGATTTGAACCTCACAGTTAGCTATGTGGGATCTGACTACTTTAACCACTGCTTCTGGGTTTGCTTGGGAACACTTTTTTTTTTTTTTTAGAGATTTTTGCTGTAGGATGCATATGCTCACCAGAGAAATAAAGAGAGAGAAAATGAGAAGTCATCCCCCGGGGTGATGGCCACACTGCAATCCCTTCTCCTCGATTCTCTTTCTGAGATTTTGGGCACACATGCTCATGTGCCCATTATGAGTTTCAAGTCACTAGGTTCAGGACTCAAAGTGTGGGTCCAGGTGGGAGTCCGGCACCTTAGCCACTACACCATCTGATGGCTATGGAAACAAATTTGTAAGTGGACACAGAAAGCATCATTGGTAATAGCAACAGATTGAAAATAACATAAATAACAGGAGATATTAAATACATATATTTTTATTTCTATGTATAGATATAATTTCAAAAGAATCATAACCACTCTCAGATCCAGAGGCTTGAAAATCACACCAGGCATGTGTGTCTACAGTCCTGAGACAAGACTGAAGGCAAAGGGATTACGGCATGGCCATGCTCCTGGGGGGTGATTTCTCACTTTCCTTCTCTCTCTGGTGTGTGCAGACACTATATAGCAAAACCAAAAAATTAATAAGTACATATGCAGAACTTATTGAATAAGGACTGCACTGCAGTGTGCTTATATCTACAGTTTGTTTTGAATGCAGTGCCCAGTTTGATAATGGAGGATATGTTGAATCAGAGATTAGATTTCTTGTTCCATTGGCCCAAGTTCGGTCACATGCCCAACTTTGAAATAATGACTGTGGTTAGTTGCCAGAATAATTATGATGTTCTAAATAGTGCCATAGGGAGAAACCGGAAGTGGAGTTATTGAAAGATAACCAGAAATGGAGAGAAAAGTGAGCAGAATCTGCCTTGTTTCTGAACCCAATATTATTTATTTTCTACAAGTATCTTGGGAAAAAACACTAGGATCTGGTTTTGCTATTACACTTACTGATGGTCAGTCTGCATGGATTGGGACAGTTTCTGAATCAGAGATTTCCCAAGAAGCTGATGGAAAAAGAGAAATATGTTGATGAGCTGAGAAAAGCGTTGGTGTTAGAAACAGGACCAGCCGATACATACAACTTTAATTTTTCTAAAGAGTCTTGTCACTTCTCCTTCAAGAAAAACCTGAAAGATGTTTCATTCAGACTTGGTTCCTTCAACCTAGAGAAAGTTGCAAGCCCAGCTGAGGTCATTAGAGAACTTATTTGTTACTGCCTGGACACCATCACAGAAAACCAAGCCAAAAATGAGCACCTGCAGAAAGAAAATGAAAGGCTTCTGAGAGATTGGAATGATATTGAAGGACGGTTTGAAAAATGTGTGACTGCATGCAAAAAGTCACCATGGATTTCCTGAGGACCCAATAGGATTAGGATCCTTTGGGTCCTGGAATCCCAAGGACACAAATCTAGACCGAGGAGAGGAGAATGAGCACCCCTGATGGCCATGTCCCCTTCATGGCCCCCTTAAATGGGGATGACCACAGCTAGTACTTGGGGACTCAACACTGCCTGGTAGTTCTGTTACAGTCGCCTGAAACACTCACTGCTCCTTTCCACATGCTCACTTCACCTCTTCACTCCTCTAACCTGAATTCACAATTTCTCCCTTCATCCTCCTTCTCGTTGTCAGCTTGTCTCATAGTTCATGGAGAAGGCAGAGACCTCCGGAGGGAACTTCATAATTTTGTAACGAATCTGACTGCTCCTGCATCTCTATCCATCCTCCTCCTCTTTTATTACAAGGAGCAACCACTTCCTGCCACAGCCAGTGTCAGCTTTACTAAGTCCCACCCCTTCCTGCCCTCTCAAAGACCCTGTGATTATTACTCTCTCCACTGAGTTATCCATAACCATCCTTTAGGACCCCCTTCTTTGAAAAGGAAAAAAAAAAATGTGGGGCAGGCAGGTGGCATGGTGGTTAAGGCACTAGATATCACATGACAGATTGCAGTTCGAGTCCCAGACCTGGTGGCTTGTTTTCTCACTGTCCCTCTCTCTCCGTGGTCAAATTAAAAATAATAATTAAATTGGGGCTGGCAGGTGGCATGGTGGTTAAGGATGCTGGACTCCCACATGGTCAACTGTGGTTTGAGTCCCGGACCTGGTGGCTTGCTTTCTCACTTTCCCTCTCTCTCTCATTTGATATGCGGAAAAAAAAAAATAGTGCCACATGGCTTACCCCTAGAATTATGGGTGGCATTTGTCTTTCCTAAGCCACAGGAACTGTATAGGAGAGATAGAGCTATCCAAAGTAAGAACAGATAGATGATGGAAAAGCAACTAGGATGTCTTCTATAGCTATTTCTCAGAGATGACTACTGGTGAATATTATCAGTATACTTATTTTGGACAAATTTGAGACCCAAATATGTAGCATGATTTTCAGTACAGTAGCTACTAATGGCATGTGGCTATTTTAAATTAAATTAAATTAAATTATTGGAACCAGCAGATGGCATAATGGTTGCATCACTGGACTCCCACACTGCGGTTGGAGTCCTGGACCTAGCGGCTTAAAACTCATGCTAGGCATATGTCTGTGAGAGCAATCCCGAGAGCAGAATGGAGAAGGGATTGCGGTGTGGCCATCCCCCCTGGGGGGGGGGATTTCTTTTTTCCTCCCGGGGGGGGGCGATTTCTCGCTTTCTGTCTCTGTCTCTCCAATGAGCGCAGGTACCCTAGAGCAAAAATCTCTCTCAATAAATAAATAAAATTATTAATACAATTTAGCTTCTCATTTACACTAGCCATATTCAAGTACTTCATAGCCACAAGTGGCTACCTTTATCAAACAGTGCAACAACCCAGCATTTCCATCATCACAGAATATATACAGTAGTTGACAGAGTGATTTTATAACAGGTATTATTTCAAAAGCTTATCTTTCATGGCTGCAAAATAAAAGGATGTGTCATCTACTGTTTCACTATTCTCAAGTATTTTAAAAGCTATAATATATAGCTAAATAACACTTTAGAAATTTATTTGAGAAAGTTTTTATCTCATAATTCTCAAAAGCACTGTCTCATTGGCTATATATATATATATATATATTGATATATTGCGCGAGGGGGGAGGGGGCAGCAGGTGGCATGGTGGTTAAGGCACTGAACTCTCATATGGCTGACCCCAGTTTCAGTCCCAGACCCAACAACTGGAAATCACACCAGGTGTGTGTACATGCATGTCCAAAATCTGAAATGAATGAATAAATAAGTAATTCTTTAAATATATATATGTATATTGCCAATTTAATAGGCAAAACAGATCCAAACTGTTTTACCACTTTTTGGTAAAGTTGCTCAGGGATCTTTTCGTATTATGCCGCATCAGCAAGTAGTTTTCTAGAATGTGGAAAAGAGGCCACTCAGGCCTACAGCAACGTGGGACAGATCGCAAACCCGTAAGAAGTTGGTCCTGGAGAAGCGAAGACATGCAGAGCTGCAGTTGTGAAGGGAAACCAGCGAGGTAGGAACCTGGCTTGGCTTTCAGATTCGCCTCACCTGCAGCTCCTTTGTGGGTCCAGAAGGAGACGCGCGCGGCAGAGAGTCCGGCGATTGTGGCGACTGTGGCGGCCGAAGCCCAGCACTGGCGCCGGCCCAGGCAGGCAGGCGGAGGCTGGGTCGGGCTCGACCGCGCCCCGCGCGGTTGTGGGCTGGCCCTCGGGCA